TTGAATAAACAAAAGAAAGGGCAGGGAATCCCCCCAAAACCCCAAAACCCCGTGAGTGAAATTCGAAGTGGAGAGTGAGATAGAATGAAATATTAAATTGTGAAATTAATAAATTTATAGAACAGATCGTTCTTCAACTAAATTCTCAGTAAATTATTATCTTTTATTGATCTATCTGCAATCATTATTGTATTTTGAGTATATTACTCATTTATATTCATTGCTTCTATGATGCCTTTCCAAGCTATAAAAGTTCTTCATCGTTGTGGGACTCTATTTAATCATTATTTTCTTGCTCTTCGTCAACTTTTTACTTCGCCTAATCATTTTGAAGTACGAATGGATAGAAAGCTGGTTGGTTCTGGATGTGTAGGTTAGAACTGCTGCCAGGGCCTCCCAATAAATTAAACGTGCCCTAATGGTAGTTTGTAATCTGTGGGAAACTCAGGTTTAAAGTGCTTTAATTGTTAATTAAAGATGAGTTATATCTCTGTAGATGTATATTTGTAAATTCATTAAAATCGTCTTCATTTAAATTGATGTTACTGTTTCCCCGAAGATGATTTTTAGCATCATAGTAACCCCAACTCCCATAAAATGGAATTGTTGGCAGTTAAATACTTGACTGGAATGGTGTAAGATTAGTATGTGACGGTTGAATATTGATTGGAGGCAAATTTGCTTAAGCTTATGCTTTTAACTGATCATCATAATAGGTAGTAATATGGTTTCCATGCAAATGATTTTAAAAGTTTTGAGATTAATGGCTATTCAATGACTAGAGTTGAGGTTGTTACTAATGAGACTGTTACTACTGCTGATGTTACTAGTGCTATTGTTATTACTGATGAAGTTATTGCTATTATTGCTATTATTATTATTGCTAGTGTTACTAATGAGATTATTGGACTATCTAGTGGTTAAATTCTGCTGCTTACATAAGTTAAATTGGTGCTTATGATTGATTCTAAGGGTTGCCCTGAATGAATTAAGTAAAGCCTTGCAAATTGTTTGTTTCTATTCCTGACCCTGTAGCTGTTGGGATAGCTGCTGAAGAAGATTATTGCTGAGTTGGGTGAGTTAATGGTGAGGCATTTTGAACTTAACTTTATTGAGGGGCTACTTGACTAACACTTGGTGGTTATTATTGCTGTGACTATATCTAAGCCTAGCTTGGGGGATGTGAAGCACCTAGAGTTATTTATTGATGCTACTACTGCTAGTGGAGGAAGTAGTTCAGCTAGGCATGATTAAGGAGATGCTCTTGAGGTATATATTACTATTACTGCAAATATTAGTGGTTGAGATGCTGATTTTAAAGTCCTAGGTATTGCTATTATGGTAGTTGGTAGCTGGATGATAAGATATTATGATTTGGGAAGATTTATTGTTGTGTAAGTGACTAAAAAGTTTGATATGGTAATCTAGTATTACTGCTAAGATTGTTTCTACCTGGAGATGGTGGGATTCCTCTGCCAAATTGATTTGGTTATAACTAAGCAGCTTAGAATTGCGTTTCATTTCTTGGTGTAAATGCAAATTGTTAAAGAGATGAGCTACTCATGAGAGGAGTAGGTAAGAATCTCTATTGATGTAAATCAGAGCTTAAATTAACAGAAGATTTGTTATATTCCTGCTATTGCGCAAGTCTTTATCTCTATAGCTGGAGACTATTGAATGCTTATATCCTAGGAGGTGCATCATTCATTGGCGAAACATCACCTCTTTACATTAATTAAGTGATTTAGGTAATGCTACTGCCAGTCCTACTTTAGAATCTTCCTGTGGACTGCTCACTTTATTTTTGAACACTAATATCTGATTATATTCTATGAACTAAGCGATCTCTTTCTATCTATACTTCAGTCTTAGTCTTAATTGGAGAGCTTTCTCCATGTCCATTTTGAGATGATTTGATTTCTTCCTTTTAGTTTATTTTTTAATTTTATTAAATTGCTAATCGTAAATTTGTAAATGAACTCGTCTCTTTTTTCTCATCCATCGATTCTCTATTGTGGAAAATTTACTACTGCATCGGCATAATCTCATGAATAATTGATTTCTAAGGAACTTTGACAGAGTTAGCATGAGCTATTTATTTGAGTCTATCCTAATCATTGGTTACCAATTGCTCCAGTTACTTGCTTGAATTTTTCCTTACTTTTCTCTATCGTTTTGCTGGTAAAAGTGTGTCTATGTATATGTCATCTGACTTTTTTCTCTTTTCTAGCTACTGTTTCAAAATCTGCGATCTTTGCTTAACCGTTTCTAGTACTGATGGGGCTAATTCTAATTTAGGGTCCTCTTCTTTCTTAGCTACGAAATCAGATCTCTCATTCTCATACCTCTCTCTATCTTTTTTAGACTACTCCTAAAAATCCCTCTTTTGCTCTGCAGACATTCTCTACCATAGGACACTCACCTATTTCATAATTTATGTTGAGTTCCAATCAGGATGTTCCTTTTTGAGCTCTTTACGTTTTTCCTAACTGAAGAAAATATAGGGTGACAGAGGCCTCCTAGGTCCCTTATTAACAATGTTAATTTACGATTAATCGAAAATATCATAGTCAATTTGTTTTTCCTTCTTCGAGTCAGTATTTTGCAGAGGCCCTGGCTAATTCAGTTTTTCAATATCACCTAGCATATCCTGTTAGGCCATTTCCCTCTAAGTATTCTAGGCCTCTTAATGATTTTCTTAGTTTTAGGGTAAGTCTTCTACAATCATCTATTAGTCTCTACTGAGTAATTAGTTAATTTTTTAATTTTATTCCTCTGCCCCAATTAATTAATCTTTAGATATCCGCGTTCTGAATTAATTACTTCCTAAGGCAGCAGGGCTTTCAAATTCTGGAATGTTTTATAACCTTTACTCTAACAGTGAAAGCGCCTAATTAGACTAAGATATTATATCCTTCCTGTTATTAGCCATCAAAATAGATTTTTGTATGATATGAGATTCAGCCTTATCTGAAAATTTATCATGATGCAACATGATGTTTTTATTTTACTATCCTAGCTTTAGATATTCCTCTAGAGGAGAATCATCTTCATCATTACTGTCTAGACTAACTGACTATTTGCTTGCTATCGAGTTTTCTTCTTCGGAATCATATGAGGCATCAGAGCAATCTTTATCCTACAATAAGTTTCCGCTCTATCCAGATTTCCTTATCTTTTTGAGCGGTATCAATTACTCCGAATCTGAATGTTTACTGTCGTCCTAAGATAAGTCCTTATCATTTAGCCTTTTATCGACGCCAAGTTTAGCTGCAATATTGAATGGGTTGGCTTTCAAGAAATGCTTTTCACCTATACTTCCTAAAGGATATTAATGGAGAACCTTACTCCGGTTCTATATAATATTGGAAGGTTCTTCGCTAGGTTATTTGACTTATACAAATTCATCAGAAGTGGAATGATTCTAAATTTTATCGAACATCATCACTGGCAATGATTTGAACGAAAATTTAGAAGAGTCAGGTTATTGACGATCTTCACTTTCGCTTATTTCAGGTCTTAATTCATCTGAGGGTTAGGTTTTAACCATTGAAATCCAATAATTTATTATATTAAGTCATTTATAGAGGGGAAGACCTTAAATTAATTAAATTTCCTTATCTGGCAATCATATTCTACATCAAATATAGCTACATGGGGTTTTGGGGTTTTGGGGTTTTGGGGTTTTGGGGTTTTGGGG